GCCAGCCATGAGTTGAAAAATTGTCATTACAATAATAAGTTCAGTGCTCCAATGTGGTTTACATCAAATCACCATACGTAACCCACGGCTCAAGAATATTCAGTCCCTCACTATATATAAAACACCTGAATAATATGAGGAGGCGATAGTGAAAAAGGCTGTCAAGAAATGCATGCCATCCCCACACAGATCAACTAACTGTAGTATGTGTGCAGTGAGGACATGACTGTTAGAAAAAGCTGTCTCAATGATAAGAAAAATTAGAGAGAAATCAGCAAAAGGAAGAATGCACTGGCAGATCTGAAGAGGGAGGAGGAAGATTCTGATGCTGCAGTGACGGAATTTGTTAAACTATACTGATGAGGAGGGTAAAGATGGAGATGGGAATGAGGATGTGCCTCCTGTAGTCAACATATGAGAAGGTGGTGACTCCGAAACTAAAGTATGACAAGCAAAAACTACCTCATTCCATGATTAACTGGAGAGGAATGAACTCCAAGACTAGACCTCCTTACATTGCTTCTCTATGTCAAATCTACAGGTTAATGACATTCTTGAGACACCATTAGTGGTGCCCAAGTGGCCAAACAACACTCAGGCGGTGAGAGAGGCATAAGTGATGACTGAAGCTTGCACTGAGTATTGGGATACGAATCGAAGATGGATATATTAGGCAAAGATTATTGTCTAGAAAATGATGCAGGTTCACTTAAAAAAGAATTTCAATATAAACTTGTAATGATTTTTCTATACGGTATTACTAAAATAACATATGTGAATTAAATCTATGTCACCCATGTAAAATTTATCATTATCTGGAAAGCATTAAACACCTAATTTTTGGTATACACTAAAGAAGTTGACAAAAAGTCGTTACGTGCGGCAGGAGTAAGTATGCATGAAATGGCAGAGAAATTTTGCACAGGTGTTTGATACAGCCATACAAAGCGATGCCTGAAAAGTGCAGCCTGCAACAAATAAAAAGTGTTTTCCTACCCCTACAATATATATATATATATATATATATATATATATATATATATATATATATATATATATATATATATATATATATATATATATATATATATATATATATATATATATATAATACAGTTAATCCAGACTTCTGTAATGAGACGAAATCTGAACTGTCCCATATCAAATTTCTGGTTCTGGGATTGTCCCAGTTGCAATTGGGGTTGCAATTTCAAATTCTGTGTCACTACTAAAAATAACAAAGTCTCTGTACACTCTAAGATTAAGAAAACGGACGACTCAGGCGTCTGAGTGAGAAAACATGGACTCCCTATGACGGAGCACTCAAATAAAGAGACATGGCTACATGTTTTGTGGACTAGCCACTATGCAGTATCCTTTTTCATACTTTGTAAACCTCGTTATGCCTATGTGTTTCTGATAATTATCATAACATTATATTTATATATTTGGAGTTAACACAAACACAAGGCCCCACATCCCATCAGACTGACAGACTTGACAAGTTTTACCAACCATAAAGACAGTTGAGCTTTTAAACATCACAATGGATCTTGAATATTCCAACTGTAATCAGACATACTGCCTAAGTTGCCTCAACAATTTGCAACCCCAGTTGCAATATCAAATTCTGTGTCACTACTAAGATATAACAGTCTCTGGTGCACTCTAAAATCAAAGAAAACAGACGACTCAGAGTACTGAAGTGAGAAGAAAACAGACTCCTACAGCAGGCACTCAAACAAACACACATAGCTGTATAATGTAATAATAACCCTAAATCAGTTAATTCGGACAATCGCTAAATACACCTTCCCCCTATTAGTCACATTTAACAGTCGACTATATATATATATATATATATATATATATATATATATATATATATATATATATATATATATATATATATATATATATATATATATATATATATATATATTACACATATATATATATACATATATATATATATATATATATATATATATATATATATATATATATATATATATATATATATATATATATATATTTCATGTAAATCCACAATGAAAACGTGGATAAGATAAATCTTAAAAAAATCACACGGGAAAATAGAACAACAAGTACCTTAGCTTTCGTCTATTTCAAGACATTGTAGGGGTATGAGATGTTTGGTTCCTCAGGATGGAATGGAGAAAACTCACAATGTGCTCTCTATAACATATTTGATGGATGTACAATACAGCTTAGTGCTGGGGGCAACATGGTTACAAGCAGATG